AGATCAAAAGTCTAAGTATGGTTTCTAGTGAGTATCACATTTACACCATTGTAAAGTCAAAAATCGTAACCATCATTTGAGTCGGGGACCTGCCCTCTTGGGGTTCACAGCAGAAGAGGGGAAACACATATAAATAACAACACTAGAGATGATAGGTATATCTCTGTAAAAGGAGACACAGGTTTGCCACTATCCAAAAGTAGAGTGTTCCCATGAAACTTTTCATAAGCCGAAATGGCATAAGGTAAAGAGTATCCCCCACTCTCCAAAAGTTGGCAATAGGCTACTTCACTTTCACAAAGGACCTATTACTAATACAGCAACAGCTTTTTTTTGTAAAAGCAAAAATCCTCTTCAGATTTCTTTTGGTTAACAAAAACAGTACTAATACAGGTCTTTCATAAAAGTGAAGGGGCAAAACACCAACTTTTGGAAAGCAGGGGATACTTATATGCTGACGATGCATAAAATATGCACAGTAGAGTCAAAAAATAAGAAACCTATGAAACTGATGCAAACCAGTATTTAAAGTAAATATTCAAAAATGTGAATGACTGAAATTTATGATACAGCACATCTGTGATCCAAAATGGGGGTTGAGTCTGCTAGGACCAAAGCATCTCTCTACACTGTGTTTGGAGAAACCATAGTAGAAAGAAAACTTTGAGATACATTTATTTATTTAACAGCACAGTATTTGCCAAAAACTGACTAGCAATATACAAAATACTTGTTTAAAATTAATATACCTTGATCATAACCTGGCTATAAAGTATTTGCTGTTTAAGGTCTTGTTTTTTATTCAAGAATAATTAACATACAGTGTTACATTAGTTTTAAGTGTTCAATATAATGATTCAACAATTCTATACATTTCTCAGTGCTCATCAAGACTGCTTTAGTGTCATTACATGGCTAAATTAATCTTTCTGTGGAAAATCTCAGAACTCTAGAAATGGCAAATTCCAATGTTACCAATGCATTCTTAATTTAACTTCCGATACCCAATAGCAAAAATAAAATATAATTCAAGTTAATATGAAAAAGCTTACATGTCAACATAAATTAAAATGCAAAAAATTCCCTTTTAATACAAGTAAATGCGGTTTTGTTAATATTAAGGACTTCCATGATTCTAAGACGCAACTACATATTTTTTAGATAAATTTGGTTCAAATGCAGAACATACCTTTCGTTTGTGAAATTCTAAGTATCTTTAAAGTGAAAATGATTCTGATTATCAAGCTACAAATGAAAAACCTCTAAGAAAGTTACTGTCACATGCAAGTACAAGAGAATAACGTAAAAATTCCCTTTTAACTAAAATACTATGATCCATATGCAAAATCCCCTCCAAGTATCCAGTACTGCTTTCAATACAATATGCTATTTACATGTAAAAAAATAAAATTATCTGAGGAATTATTTTCTACAGGTAAAGATACACTGATATTGCACTGTAATTTGTGAAAAAAATGTTTACAAATTAAATGCTATAGAATTATACTACCTAAGACAGCTATTCAAAAAACCCTGTTGTGAATTCTTCCATTAAGTAAATGTCAGTCCTCTATTTTATCTTTTCTAAAACTATGTTTACATTAAAATCTTTGATTAAAAGAAACTTTCATATTATAAACAAAGAACACATAATATTTACATAGCATTTACTTCAAGGAAAGAAAAACCTTATATAAACACATGTTAAGGATGTTTACAAAGGAAGCATTGGACTAAGCAGTATGCCTGTTTTGTAACTGCAACAGACAACCAAATTCCTTCCTTATCTATAGTTAGACTCTCTTATACTGCCACATTAAAAAATTCTTCCTAAATCCAAAGTTTGTTGATGATCATCTTCTTTCACAGATAAAGCTACATTACAAAATCCTTGACAATATATTCTCATTGTAACATTATTTATGAATTAATTTACTCATCTTCCTAATGCTATAAATACAAATATGGAGTGCTATATATTAATGTTTCGAGTTAACAGTATCATTATACAAAATACATTCCTCTACAATAGAAATTACTCATTTTATTTCTCATTACATTGGTGATTCTTCAACAAACTCACAATCCACTTCAGTAGTGGAAGCAGCTCTACCTTTGGCAAACAAAAGCAGAAAAAGTACAACCATGGCTGTGTAGAAGTCCTATATATCACTACATGCTTAAACTTTACTCAGCAAAACTTTTAATTCTTTGGGGAAGGCAAGAGAGAAATAGTACCTGAAAACCAAGTATTAGTATTCTCATACTATCTACAGATAAGAAATGTATGTACAGGAAAAATAGAAAGAAAAATATTTTGGCAAAGGTGACTGAGACTGTTTAAGGTAGAAACTGTTTTGTTTTGAAGTTTCATTAGTTCCCCTCCCTTCTTTTCTGTCATAAAGGGCACTGTGATAGAGGTTTCACTATTTCCACCTAATTTTTTTATTTAATGTTTTAAATTAAGATTGGAAATTTTAAAAACTCATTTTAGAGATAATATTACAAGCGTCCACCTTCTAACTAGTCATTGAATGCTCCACATGGATTTTACTGATTTATTTATTAATAGAATTAAGTTTTGATAATTATTTTTTAACTGCCTATGATTCCAAATTATTTTCAGAACCAGCTTAAATTTTCACATGACATTTTCATTATGAGTATATTAGAAAGATAAACCCTAAACTTACAGTTCAGGAAATATTACCCTTCAAGTAACCAATCTGAATTCCACAATCAATATAATTAACAACTTAATAGTAAATAACTCCTTTTGTCTTTCATCCTTTCCCCAGAAGTTTCCATTTAAGGACTTCTTGCATTCTTTAAATATGTACAAGGAAATTTTAAACCTAACCTTTTTTATGCCACGATCAATGCAGTTACAAGGTCTTATGTGGATTTGGGGACATAACATTTCAGTATTACCTTATTTCTGATTACTCTAATCAAGCTTAACAGTAAAGTTAATTTCTAACATAATGTTTGCATACTGAAACTTCACGCCAGATTTTCACTGCACTGTACAAGAGTTAAATTTCTTTTTTATCTCAAAAGAAGTGCTTCACTTCCTTTCTTAACCTACTGTATATCTATAGAACCCCATCTGTTAAGAACTGATCTGGCATACATCATTACTGCTGCAGAGTCTGAACTGGTTACACATTCCAATCAGTTTCCAGCTTGTGAGAGCTCTATTGCCTCTTACCATTGCAAAATGTATTAAGCATAGAAATACTTATTAAAATAACCCAATACCACATAATCTAAATAAAAATTATACTGATTAGGTGAAAACTGGGGGGGGATTTAAATGTGTTCTTTCAAATTTTTAAAAATACAATACCTGCTAACATTCTAACACGTTTTGAGATTTCATCTTATTTTAAGAAAAGGCAAGTTACTGACCTCCTATTCGCAGCTAGTTAAAATTAAAACTCCCAAGAAACAATATTTCTATTACTGTTTTGAAAAGAATTTGGTTATATCAACGTGGTGACATTTCCCCAAACTTACATTGACTTTTGTGGTGATTTATTTGAAGGTACACAGAAGTAGAAAGTGGTGTATTCTATTTAAACAGTAATAAATATAACAAAGACATATTCTCCTATCTTTGATTTGATGTACTAGCAAAAAAAAGAAAAGAAAAGAAAAGAAAAGAAAGGAAAAAAAAAACACTTCAACTTTTCTGTGAATTTAAGAGGTTCATAAACCACAGACATTAATCCATGTCTCAGGGCACCAGTGCTGCAGCTTTCTTTCAGTTTTCCAATAGATCAAATAAAAATAATTGCTTGGCTAAAAAATCAGACTGCATGGGTGTTATAAAATCCCCCTGCAAGCATATTTTTATATTCCTGTGACTCCACACCAAATACAATAGTCAACTGATCGCTCGATTTAAGCCTTGTCTTCCAAAATCCTACCTTACGTGTGTCAAAGACTAGATATTGCAGAGGAAACTGTTTTTAAAAGCTTTGCTGCAGCAAAAACTGCATTTGCAAAACATTAAAAATGAACTACTCTTTAATTATCTGCAATTTATGATTCTCCTCTCTTTATTCCCATTTCTTCCCCTGACATCTTGAACGCTTCGTAGGCTCTCCGTAGATAGCGCAAAACATTAAGTCATACACAGTTCTGCAGTAACTCTTTCTTATCATGAAACAAACCAACACCTTTCCTTTGGTCTTTATCCACATGCCACGCTCTCGGAAGGCAACCATAGAAACCAACCTGTATGATTTGGTGCCCTCACATTTTAACACCTTGTGTGCACACACACACACACACACACACACACACACACACAAATGACTAACAGGTCAGCATATTCAGGGCAATATTACAAAGAAAGAAGGCTGCCTAAAAAGAGATGGGGCGCGGGGTGGGGGCGGGGGGGGTAGATACTGCTACAACACTCTCCATCATAACCTCTGAATATATTTAAAGGCAGATGCAAAACTGCATCATTTCCCTCATTCGAAAACATCACAGCCCAGCTGCTCAAGTTAGAGCTAATGCGCTTCTCACATTTCAGTAGCACGGGGGAAATTAGGCTCTAGGGGCAAGGCTTTCATCCTCGGAGAGCGACACCACGGACAATTAAGAGCGTAGAAAAAAGAACCCCGGAGAACAGGGAGGTCTCCTCTCCCCCCTAACTAAACTCTCAAGTCGACCCAAACCCTGCACAAGGGATGATTTCTACTCATAGGAGAAGTGATGGTAAGCGGTGTTAACTTGGGCACCGCACTCAGGTGGCAGGAGAGGACCAGAGGAGAGCGGGGAGGTGGCGTGGCTAAGGTTGCGCGCAAGCAGGTCACCCGCTGGGCAATACCCGCCCGACGATCGGTGCTCCCAGGGATGCGCTGCGTGTGCGACCCCATGGGTGGAGGTGTGGGAGCGCTGAGGCTGGGGGGGTAGGGGTGGGGGAGGGGAGAGCTATGGGGGGGGCTGGGCAGTGGGTGATGGAGAGCAGCCTACCGCCTTTCCACAGGGTTGAGCACCGTCTCCACGATGTCCCTGTTGCTGACCTCTCCGACCTGTATGAGTCCAATCAACACTGCGAATTTCATCCGGATGTTGCGGATCGGCACGGAAGGGTTAATCATCCCCGCGGGCAGCACCACCGAGGAGCCGGACGCCCCCTCCAGCTCCCCCATCCCGCTGCCCCCGCCTTTACGCCGCCCCCGCCCCCCGCCCCTCGCCTCGCCCGACGCATAGCCCCACGGGCTGAGGGCTCGAGCCGCCCGGGCCCGGCTTCTCGCTCCATGAATTGCCCCCCCTCCTGGGAGAGGGAAGAGCAGGCGCTGCAACTGCCCGCCGACGTGCCTATGCACTGCTCGGCCCCGCTTCCCCCCGGCCGTCGCCTCGCAGACCCCAGCATCCACCCAGCGCCGGCGCGCCGAGGCCCCTCCGCCTGCGCGTCCGCCCGCGTGCCGCGCCCTCCGGCGGGCGGCGGTTATTCCAGACTTAGTTCCCGGCGGTGGCTGCGCCGTAACCGCTGCCCGGCGAGCGGCAGTGCCCGCCCAGCAGCTGGACCGCGGCTGCCGCCGCTGACCCTGCCTCCTATCTCCCCCTCCCCGGTCCGTCCGGCCCGGCCCGCCCCCCCCGCGGATGCGACGCGCCACTCGAGACTCCGAGGGCGCGGGGCATTGGCATTGCACGCTGGCCGGTGCGAATCAGGCTGTGGCCGAACGCTGCCGACGCTGCCGCTGCGCATCACGCGTCTGTTGTGAAGCCCCGGCGCCGCCACCCTCCGCCATGTTGCCGCCCCCTGCCTGCGGTAGCGGCCACTGCACTGCGGAGCTCCCGGGGCGCGGAGCCCTCAGGCCCTCTTTGCCCTGCCATCCTTCTTTCACCCACCCACCCCCCACCCTCGTTCCTCCCCAAGCCACCCTGAACGGATGAACCGGGTGAGGCAGGTGCATGGGGACCGCTGCCAGACCCCGGGGCGAGCTGGTAGAGGCGGGGCGGAGAGTGGCTTCCGCGTACTTTTTCCCTTGAGGGTGGATTCTCCGGCTGAGGAAGGACACAGGGAGTGTGTGTCTTGCCTCCGCTGCCTCCTCCTCCTTCCCTCAGTATCCTCTTGCTAAGAGGAGGTTCATCATCTTCGCCTTCATCATTGCATCCAGCAGCTGTCACTGCCAGTGCCACGTGCCTCGTAAGGTAGGGGAGTGGCAGACGACCTCTTTCTGCCCCTCTTCGCCCTTCCTCGCAGTATTTCCCGCCTCCCCCCACCACCCCCCACCCCCGAATTTCCTTAATAAAAAGTGGCTGGCAAAGCAGAAACAAACGCACGGTGGGGAAAGATCTTGCATTGTCGGGGAAGGATACGGATGGAGTGTAATGGTTCTTTCTCTACAGCCATGAAAGAGGCTGACACCTGCACACACAGGAACGACTTAAAATAGAACTTGTCAAACAGTGATCCGCTCTGGATGGAGCTCCCAACAACAAACAGCTCTTGAACTCGCCTACCAGCCTAAAAAGGCTGCACTGTGTGACACTAAGGGTAGTTTGCTGCGAACTACAAACCCCACATTTTAAAAATCCCTTGCAGTCTTCGGGTACGATGCCAGCTAATGATACTTCCCTTTTTCTTAGTCGTGTACAGTTCAGAGGTTTTTGAAATGATCTAAAAACGTAGGGAATCCTCACGGCCAGCCTTAATCTGTGAAAAAAAGTAGATTACTGTATCTGCACAAATATAAAAACAAAAATATTACTGTCAGTTTAAGAAAATTAAAATATATATGGTAATCTTGCTGCTACTATTGAATTAAAACTAAGTAGGCATGACTGCTGTTTTCTTCTTTGAAATGAAGGATGTAATTTTCCTTAATATTTCATGAAGTACGCCCTTTTCAATAAAGCCACCAGAAATATTTGGTATCTTGAGGTATATTCAAGTCATTCCAATTGTTATCTCAAATAAGAAAAGTCAATATACAAATCTATCATAATCCGATTTTTTATTACATTTAATCGGAACAGCTAGTCAAGTTAACTCTCAGGATATTGGAACATGGTAAAATTCTAAAGTACTATAGGTTGTGTATAACACAGCTCCTCAAAACCGGCCCTTAGGATTAGTTTTTAGTTGTGTGTGAATTTGTTTAAACTTGCACTGAATTGATTAAATCATCAAGCAAAAAAATCCCTTTTGAAAGAAGTGGTAATTGGTATGTCCACTTATATTAAATGACAGTTGAATTATAAAATGCTAAAATGATTGAAACTTTATGAAAAACTTACAAAACCGATAACTTTTAATAGTATGAGTTAGATATGCTATAATTTAAAAATCCTGTGACATATATAACCACCTATAACATTTTTAGTGCTGTCTACTTTTGCAAGTGCTATTTTCATTTGTAAATCTAAAATGATGTATCTTAAATATGTAAATCCAGACTGAAAGATCATCTCACTGGCTTTTTTTCACGCCACCGTGTGTGAAAATATGGCAGCAGGTTCTACCTCTTCCTATTTTTAGACTTCTTGCATGAGTGCTTTGAGAGACAGTGACAACCTGAACTTTCTATTTCCTTTCCAAATGAATAGCTTAACATCATGTTAATATTTTCACTTTAATTTTCTCTGTATTGCTTCTTAAGCAGTATGGGTGTGTGCTTTGGTTTTGTTTTTCTTATTCGTTCAATTTGTATGTGTTCATTTTCCTTTAGTGGAGATAGGGAGTGGGTAAAAAGGATGTCACTTTTTCAAAGTAGGAAAACTCTGATACTGTCATACACGTACCAATATCAGAAATATTTTAAAAAGCTTACCTATTAAAAAAATGTTCTCCAGTACACTGTCAGCTTCTTGAAGGCAGTATGGTACTGTGGAAAGTGCAGCTTTCTCACAACTTGCTACCTGTTCAGCCTACTCAATTTATTGAGCTAAGTCTCCTCATGCACTAACAGGGATAAGAATATCTATCCCATAGGGAAGTAAGAATTCAATGAAATTACTTGAACTCAACAGCCAGCATATAGTAAATATGTCCTTGTACCCTTAGTATACAGACACAATATGTGTTGAATGACGTATAAACACATGTAAAACCAATTATAACCACATACAGGTCTTTATAATTGCACAGTTATATGTTTTCAATAGTATCCCCAAAAGCATAAAGTTTAGAAAAGAAGCAGGTTTGTTTCCTTTTAGCCTACAAAGCCTATGTCCCTGCAAATATACAAATAGCTTAGTGTTTACATTAACTAACAATATTTTGACATAGAAGCTACCTAAAATATTCATTTTTTAAGTCCCCAGATTAAACAATATTTTGTGGTGAATATTAATTTTGTACACATTTTTACTTTAATAGATGCATACCCCTGCTTCCAAAGGATGATTTTTCAAAGAAAAGAAGCCCATGAATCTGAGTTCTAAGAAAGAATTTTAAAAATTTTAATTCCAGTATAATTAACATGCAGTGTTCGATTAATTTCAGGTATACAATATAGGGATACAGTGTTACAGATGACATATCAAGAAGTGATATTGCATAGTGGTTGAGAACACATGCTCTGGGGGCAATAGAACCTGGGTTTGGATTCAAGTTCCCTCAGCCACTATCTGCATAATCTTTGGTAAATGACTTCTCTTCAAAGCCATAGTTTATCAAATCCAAATTAGAGATTCATAGGATTAAAAGATGAAAGAAGTTAATACATTTGAAGTACTAATATAGTAGCAAGTGTCAATAAATAATGTTTTCGTTCATTGGCTGTGGGAAAAAACATTGTTGTAGTTATTTTTGTGTTTTCAGCACCTAACATGGCTGGCTTGTAATTTACATTTAATAAAAGTGTTCAAAAATAAATGAGTGAAAACAGCAATTCTCCTGGCTAAATAGTCCCATTTCCCTTGACCTGTTCTTTAAAGAACAGGTTTCTAGCTTTCCTCTAAATTTTATCTGAAGAGTGTGGTGTTCAGGTAGGCAGGTTTAGACCAGTAGGTTTAGACCAAGTTTAGACAGGGAATAACTCTTTTTTTTTTTTTTTAAGTTTATTCATTTATTTTGAAAGACAGGGAGAGAGAGAGAGAGAGAGAGAAAGTGTGTGTGTGTGTGTGTGTGTGTGTGTGTGTGTGTGTGTGTGCGCGCACGTGCACAAGCAAGGGAGAGACGGGGAGAGAGGGAATCCCACGCGGACTCAGTGCTGTCACTGTAGAACCCCAGGAGGGGCTAGATCTCACTGTGAGATCGGGACCTGAGCCAAAATCAAGAGGCAGAGACTAAACCCACTAAGCCACCCAAGAGCCCCCAGAGAATAACTCTCACCTGAACCTCAACCTTTAGAAATACAACTCATGTTAATGTAGCCCCATATCGGTTTAGTTTGGTTTCATTCTGGGTTTGACAGCAACATGACACTAATGATTGATGTTTGGCATATAATAATTTTGGTTCCATTCCCCTCTCATGTTAAAATTCTTATCAACTGAACACCAAGGCTTTTTATTTTGCTGTTATTGTTTTGTTTTGTTTCTAGACATGCTGCTGCTAAGCAGTAACACAACCCCCCCCCATTTTGAAATATAGAGTACAGGATTTTACATATATATTTAAATTTAATTTAATTCCTTTTTTATTTTATTCAATTTTTTATTTAATTTTCCATTTAAATTTAATTTGCTGGGAATTTCTTAATCCTATTTATATCATACAAAAAATGGTCTTCTTCATATTATATTATCTGCAAACTTGAGCACAACACTTCTATATCTTCATCCAAATATTTGATTAAACAGGATAAAAACAGCTCTATCGTCACTAGAAACATTCTGATTGAAATCAATTCACATTTTTCAAACTGTAAGCCTCAACCCATTAGTGAGCCTTGAAATAGATTCAGTAGGTTGCAACTAGCAGTTTAATGAAATAGAATAGAAAACAGAGTGGAAAATATCAAGTGCATCTATTATTTTAATTATATATATATATATATATATATACATACATTATACATATGTATATATATGTATGCTTACATGTAAAATATCTTTTACTGTAAGTCATAACCAAGACGTTTGGAAATCACTGATTTAAGTTGTTTATAAGCACTTCAACTATTAAACAGCTACCATCCTGTGCTAACAACTAGCCTATATTTCTCTAACTTGTGCAGAAGAATATCATAAGGGAACTTGACAAGTGGCTATTTGAAGTCCGGAGGCACTGTCTCTGTGCCTGGGTGAAATTAAAATAAAAACTATAGAGAGGTGTGAATTATTATCAGTGTTTCCAACATAAC